TGCAGAGTAGGCTGAAGAGATGGCTTAGAGGTTAAAGTGCTGGCTGCTCTTCCAGAGGTCCTGAGTTCAGTTCCCTTCAACCACATCATCTCATGACCGTGATAATGAGATCTAGTGCCCTCTTTGAGCATGCAGACATATTAAATAAATAAATCTTTAAAAAGAAAAAAAGTGCAAAGTAAGCCAGATGATGGTGGCACACATCTTTAATCCCAGCACTTGGGAGAAAGAGGCAAGTGGATCTCTGTGAGTTCGAGGCCAGCCTGGTCTACAGAGCAAGTTCCAGGACAGGCTCCATAGCTACTGAGAAACTCTGTCTCAAAAAACAAAAGTGCAGAGTAGGGGTAGATGAGATGGCTCAGAGGTTAAGAGCACTGGCTGTTCTTCCAGAGGCCTGGTTCAGTTCCCAGCAACCACATGGTGGCTCACAACCATCTGTAATGAGATCTGGTGCCCTCTTTTGGTGTACAGGCAAACATGCAGGCAAAACACAAAAATGTAAGAAATAAATAAATCTTTTAAAATGAAATAAAAAGTGCAGAATAAGTGAAAGGTGTCCCATCCATCCTCTCTTCTAGTGCCATGGCCAATGTAACTTATTTTCCATATCCTCCTAAAAGATTGCCTATCCATGTTCTCTGGCAGAGAATTCTTGATTCTCTAAAATCTTGCCAAACAGTTAACTCCTGAGGACATGATAGGTTTTTTTTTTTGTATAATAACTTACTATTATTATTAGACTTCTGTACTTTTAGGTTCTTTATATACCGTTTACACTACTTACAGGATAACTGGCTTGCTGTGGGACAGTGGTCTTGTATCCTGTCACTTATATTGTTTTTAATAAAATGCTGATTGGCCAGTAGCTAGGCAGGAATTAGAGGCAGGGTGACGAGAACAAGAGAATTCTGGGAAGAGGAAAGGCTCAGTCTGCAGGTGTCATCTAGACACAGAAGAAGCAAGATGAGACTGCCTCACTGATAAAAGGCACCAAGCCATCTAGCTAACACAGGCAAGAATAATGGACTAATTTAAGATATAAGAATTAGTTAATAAGAAGCCTGAACTAATAGGCCAACCAGTTTATGATTAACGTAGACTTCTGTGTGTTTTGTTGGGACTGAACAGCTGCGGGACTGAGCGTGACAGAAACCTCAGACAACACTGGGTAATTTAGGCATGATAGCTCTTTTCAATGAATAGATAATATTTCTAGGGTAAAGAGTTCTACATTAAAGCTGATGTATGTCATTTTAAGATTGTTTTCAGCCAGTCCTGGAGGTACTTTCAGAAGGTTCCAGCACTGGAAGCCTTGAGGCAGGACTTGGAATTAAAGACCAGTGAGGTGGCTTCGCAGCTAAAGGCCACTTGAGGGACAGTGAGGTGGCTCATACAGGCCACTTGACTTGCAAGTCTAATTAATAATTGGAGTTTTCCCTCCTGAAGCCACATAGTGGTGGAAGGAGAGAACCAATGCCACAAAGTTTCTTACCTCTAAACATGTGCCTTGACATGAGAACCCACAAACATATCATACACACATAATATTTTTTTTCCTTAAGAGAAAAGTTTGCCGTGTGACTGAATTAACAGTCCAGCTAGTTTAGACTGGCACCAAGTCTTACATGCACCTTTATGAAAACATGCCCAGCTTGCTCTTTTGCACACATGGAATGAACCATGTTCTATCACAGTGATGTAATGAATCTCAATTTCTTTTTAGACAGGGAGATCTGAAAAAGAAGAAGAAAAAAAAGAAAGGTAAGATTTTAAGGAAAAAATAGGTCGGATGGTGGTGGTACACGCCTTTAATCCCAGCAATTGGGAGGCAGAGGCAGGCAAATCACTGAGTTCAAGGACAGCCTGGTTTAAAAGAGCTAATTCCAGGGGGCTGGAGAGATGGCTCAGTGGTTAAGAGCATTGCCTGCTCTTCCAAAGGTCCTGAATTCAATTCCCAGCAACCACATGGTGGCTCACAACCATCTGTAATGGGGTCTGGTGCCCTCTTCTGGCCTGCAGGCATACATACAGATAGACTATTGTATACATAACAAATAAATAAATTAATTAAAAAAAAAGAGCTAATTCCAGAATAGCTAGGACTGTTACACAGAGAAACCTTGTCTTGAAAAAAAAATACACTCCGATTTCTGTATTGTTGTTTGAGATAGATTTTTAAACCTTAGTTAAATGAATTATTAAAAGTCCATATATTTTTCAAGTTCTAAATGTGTAGTTATTGCTATTATAGTTGAGTTTACAGAAATTTTACAAACTAATGTTTGCATTAGTCCATTATCTTCAGAAGTCTCACTTATTCTTCACTTCTTGTCCCAGTACTTGGGTATCAGCTTACTCTTACCTGATATATAGACATACTTTCAGTAGCACAATTGTGATCTTCCTATATTAGTGCCCCATTCTTTCTTTAAAATGTATCATTTTATTAGATAAAAATTATAAATTTTTGTAAAGTTATATCTGGAAAATTTTTTTCCTTACACATGGTGGCTCAAGCCTTTAATTCTAGCACTAGGGAGGCAGAGATATAGGGATATTTGTGAGTTCTAGGCCAGCCAGGGCTACATAGTGAGACACTGTTTCAAGAGAAATTTTCTTGACATCTGAACATGGTGCATGACTACAATCCCAGCACTCCAGAGGGAGAGATAGGAGGATCACAGGTACAAGGCCAGCCCCGCTACATAGTAAAATCAAAAACCGACAGGCTTTCTCATACTAATTTCAGTTGTGTTTATCCCAAGTCATGAACATGTTGTTTGAACAAACTTGAAACTATTCTAGGTATATTTCTCATTTAACAATCATTTCTAGGAAAGCTGCCTAAGAATTATGACCCAAAAGTCACCCCAGATCCAGAAAGATGGCTACCCATGCGAGAACGGTCTTACTACCGAGGAAGAAAGAAGGGTAAAAAGAAGGACCAGATTGGAAAAGGAACACAGGGAGCGACTGCAGGGACCTCCTCTGAACTGTGAGTTGTGGCTGAGGAACAGAAGTCCCCCGAGTGTAGTTCATCTGACTCAAGTATTAGGAAGACTTTTGTTTATATGCTGTATGAGAAACACAGTCCTACAGCCTTGATAAATATTTGCAGTATATATGAAAGGAAGAAAATACAGTGTTTGATTTTATTACAGATACAAAAACTGTGTGATTTTATTGTTAAAAACTAACTATTCTAGGAGCTGTGAGAATGGCCCAGTAATGGAGCCCTTGCCTAGCATATGCCCTAGTATTACAAACCACAGACCAGCCTAGCAATCACGTTTAGTTTTGAAACTAAAGATAATGAATCATTTAATTGTGTGATAGAGGGGTGATACCTAGAAAGAAGAATTTAAAATGTGAATTTTTTTCTACATAGTCATTTAAAGTTATTAAATTTGTCATGTAGCACTTATTACATTTTCTTTAGTTTTAGGTGGTTTAAAAATATTCAGAAGAAATAGACAGAGGTAGGGTGCACCCATCCTTAAAGTGTGTGGGAATTGGGGCTGGAGAGATAGCTCAGCGGTTAAGAGCACTGTCTGCTCTTCCAAAGGATCCACGTTCAACTCCCAGCAACCATATGGCAGCTCACAACTGTAACTCCAGTTCCAGGGGACCTGACACCCATGGCAAAACATCAATGCACATAAAATTAAGTCATTATTTTTTTTAAAAAAAAAGAATAGTTTTAGGGAAGTATTAGGTGTGGAAAAGTGAAATCCATGAACATATATGCTTATGCCTTGTCCTATATTTCTAAATGACTAAAAGCCTTTCTGGTTGGTGATTTCAGAGATGCCAGTAAAACTGTGAGCAGCCCACCCACCTCCCCAAGACCTGGCAGTGCAGCAACGATATCTTCCTCTACAAGTAACATCGTGCCCCCAAGACACCAGAAGCCTGCAGGGGCCCCAGCAACGAAAAAGAAACAACAACAGAAGAAGAAGAAAGGAGGCAAAAGTGGCTGGTGAAGACGATGTACTTGTCGCCAGTGACATTAGGAACATAATAAAGGTAACACAGCAAGACGCACAGAGCTTCCCTCCTCCATCCCGAGTCCTGAAATGATTTCTTATACTTCAAGTGGGAAGACGTCCTCCTCAAACTGTCTAATCAGATTTGGCCTACTTGTACCAAATAGCTCTACAGAAGACTGAAGACTGAGCATGAGGCACGCTATCTAAGGAAACTAGTGTGAAGATACGCGTTCCTATTCAAGTCTCACCTTAAATTATGTCTTAGGAGGCTAAAGGTGGAATCTTCTGAGCATTCCAAGTATTTGTTTAGAGCTATCATGTGATGAAAAGGGATCTCAGTAAATGAGTGGCCAAAAAGACTCAGTGTCTAAAATAATTTTCACCATAAATCCTCTGTCCTGCGACACTGGAATTGGAGCTCTCATGTGTGTGTGTGTACACATCTGACTGGCTCCTTTGTACCCTTGTCATTTTCATCCTCAGATTATGTTAACATGCTGATTTAGTTCCACTGAAGACCTCAAGAAGATATATCAATGTTACAAGTAGTTGTCACTTAGACCCAGCGTTCTGAGGGCAAATGGGTTTGGGCTTCTTAATCAGAACATAAACTTTGACTTCTTTATTTTAAGAGGAAACAGGCGATATTGAAATTCACCAGAACTTTTGGCCCAGCTAGTACTCAGATGGCACCCCTTTCTTTATGGAACATGGCCTTTCATTACCTTCTTCAAAGTAATGTGGTTTGCAGTCGCTTTGTGGTGTAAATGTTGCTCTTGTCTTTCATGGCTAGCAGGCCACTTTCTTGCTCCAACAGTTGAGAGGCACACCTGGGTGTCTCCATGTTCAGTACTCGTTTATGCCACCACGCTATCATTCATTTTACACTTCTATTTCCTTGTGATCACATTACTCTGTCCTTGTTAATAAAAGTGCTGCTGTGTTTGAGCATTATCTCTGGCACTTCTTCAGTGAGTCCTTACAAGGCTTTCCTGCCCTATGGGATTACAGATGGGGGCAGCTGAGAACGATTTACACAGCTCTCCAGAGAACAGTCTTGGTGAGACTGAGTACCTCTTACAGGAATGAGTGTCATTTAGGGTTCCATTACATCTCTATGGCCAAAGGTAATTTTCTTAAGTTTACCCACAGAATCTTCATGAGATTACTGCACTTTGAGAATTTTGGTCCAAGACACCATGGTGAGATACATACATACTCTAGTAGCAGAGATTTGTATTGTCATTGCTAAGCCACAGAAAACCTCATTTCAAATATGTTATTTAAGTCTAAATTTCATCTGTATTAACATTCTGGTAAATATTTTGGGTATGCCTTTAACCAATAGTTCTGGGGTGTGTGTGTGTGTGCAGTATGGAAAGCATCCCTTCACTGGAGTGAAGATGTTCCAGATGTTGGCATTTATGGCGCACTTCCTTACTGATATATCTAAGAATTTCTTTTAAACTGAATATCTAAAATTACCTCCTGTCCCTCCCAGCAAAACTACAAATCTGGTGGGATTGGGAGAACTCTGTTTAAACAGTGACAGTCAGAGGCTGGAGAGATGGCCCATCAGTTAAAGCGCTAGCTGTTCTCCCAGAGGCACTGAGTTCAGTTCCCAGTACCTACCTACATGGCAGCCAAGAGCTGCCTGTGACTCCTGTTCCAGAGGATCTGGCACTACGTACATGCCATACACATACACATGTGCAAGCAAAATACCCATAAACATAAAACAAGAAATTTTTTTTGTATTTTATGTAATCTTTTTGTTTATTTTTTTTTAGGTGAAAAAAATTTTCGCCTCCTCCCTGTTTCCCATTTCCCTCCCCCTCCTCTCCTCTCCCTCTCCCCCCAAAACAAGAAATCTTACAAAGAATAAATCCATCCTATTGGTATGGGCATTAGTGAACAGTAGCAAATCTTTTGGTAAACATTTTAAAAAATGGTTTGTTTACTCTGATTTTATGTGAATTGATGTTTTGCCTGCATATTTGTCTGTGTGAGGGTGTCAGATCCCTTGGAACTGGAGTTACAGACAGCTGTGATCTGCCGTGTGGGTGCTGGGGATTGAACCCCAGTCCTCTGGAAAAGCAGCCAGTGCTCTTACCCACTGAGCCCCTAACCTAGCATTTTCAAGGTAGCTGAAGACAGCTGACCTTAAAACCTGTCCCTTGACTCAGGCCTTCCGGAACTTGCCACCTTTCCTCGCCAGCTTATCTGAAATCTGGTGAAAGAAAATCAATTTCATGTAGCAACTAAAGTTTTCCATATGGTCGGGGAGGGACAGGGTCTCAGCATGCTAGTCTAAACTCAAGCCTTCCTCCCTCAGCCTCCCCAGTGCTGGGATACAGGCACCCATGTCCTGATGTTACTCGTCATTTTTTTTTTTTAACTGAGCAGGAACCTGGGCCCCTTACTCAGCAAGCACTCTCTCACCGCTTATACTCCATCCCTAAAATCCCGCCTTGCTAAATTGTGAAATATTCCGAGTCCCGCCAGAAAATATGAGAACCGTGAGTTCCTCGACTAAAGAAACATGCCACCTCAGTCAGGGTGCGCAAGTCACTCCGCAGTGATTGGGAACGGGATCATTAGGTTTTGATATCTGTCCCCTGCTGTCATGACCTGCGATCTCTGTGCTGAATAGCAGCAGTTTTTGTTTCTACCCGTGGAATTCACATGGGATGGGAGCAGGGAGATGTGTAGCCTGTGTTCTGGGGTGGTGGTTGTAAGGTGGGGGAAGGTGGAGTCTTCTAGGGACTCTAGAGCCTTAGGCGTTCTTAAGTTAGGCACGGACTGGCAGGGCAAATTGGAGGTTGAAGCGGGGTTGCTGAAACTCGTAGGAAGCATTTCTCCAGCACTGTCAAATCGTGTTTTTGTGCGCTCTGGAGCAAGGGGTACCTAAGGACCTCCAGCAAAAGCAGTCCGCCTTGCCTGTTTCTCCCGTTCTCTGTTGAAAATCACCAGGTTCCCTTAGACTGGGCATCCTAGCATCCACGCCTTTCCCGGTCCTTCCTTCAGGCTCAAGTTCGACCAATCAGCTGCCAGCTCTAGACCAACTAAAGCAAGATGCCAGACTGACAGCTGCGCTCACTGGCGCGGCCTGCCACCCTGTGACCGCAGGTGTGGCTTACGCTTGCTTTCTGGACCTACGTCTCCCTTGAGCCCCCACACCAGGGCAACACCTGCCAGGATCCAGGGCCGCGGCTCCTGCGCGCTGGCGCGTGGGAGAGAAGGGGAACAGCGGCGGTGGGGATGGAGAGAGGGAAGGCGAAGGAGAGGGACAAGTTTTCTTCTTCGAGCAGTAGGGAATCAGTAAAAGCAGAGAAGGAAAAAAGGAAAGATGTGGAAGTAAAAAGCAAAGGGAAAGAGATAGGGAAGGAAGAGGAGAAGAGGAAGTCTGTAGAGCTGAAAATCAAGAAGGGGAAAGAGACAGGAAAGGAAGAAGAGAAAAGGAAGGATGTAGGTCAGAAAAACGACAGCGGAAAATCTAAGGAAGAGGAGAAAAGGAAGAGTGTGGAGTTGAAAATCAAGGAGAACGGGAAGGAGAAAGGGAAGGAAGAGGAGAAAAGGAAGAGTGTGGACGCGAAAATCAAGGAGAACGGGAAAGAGAAAGGGAAGGAAGAAGAGAAAAGGAAGAGTGTGGACGCGAAAATCAAGGAGAACGGGAAGGAGAACGGGAAGGAGAAAGGGAAGGAAGAGGAGAAAAGGAAGAGTGTGGACGCGAAAATCAAGGAGAAAGGGAAGGAAGAGGAGAAAAGGAAGAGTGTGGACGCGAAAATCAAGGAGAACGGGAAGGAGAAAGGGAAGGAAGAGGAGAAAAGGAAGAGTGTGGACGCGAAAATCAAGGAGAAAGGGAAGGAAGAGGAGAAAAGGAAGAGTGTGGACGCGAAAATCAAGGAGAACGGGAAGGAGAAAGGGAAGGAAGAGGAGAAAAGGAAGAGTGTGGACGCGAAAATCAAGGAGAACGGGAAGGAAGAGGAGAAAAGGAAGAGTGTGGACGCGAAAATCAAGGAGAACGGGAAGGAGAAAGGGAAGGAAGAGGAGAAAAGGAAGAGTGTGGACGCGAAAATCAAGGAGAAAGGGAAGGAAGAGGAGAAAAGGAAGAGTGTGGACGCGAAAATCAAGGAGAAAGGGAAGGAAGAGGAGAAAAGGAAGAGTGTGGAGTTGAAAATCAAGGAGAATGGAAAAGGAAAGGAAGTCAAGGAGGAGCAAGGGATGGAGAATGAGGAGGAACAGGTCACAGAAAAGGTCAAAGACAGCAGCAGCACCTCGATTAAAATCCTGAACCCGCCGCCGCCGCCGCCGCCGGTAAGAGACCTGGGACCCGCTTCGCCTCCGAGTCGGTTGTGGGCATTCAAACCCGCCGGGCTCTGTTACGTCGCCCCCGAAGTACGCAGAGAACCGGATCTTGTCCGAGGGCGTCTGTGTATGGATGGCGGGGGTGTGGGGGAATGTGCCAAGGTTCGAACGTATCCCCGCCCCCAACTTCACCCCTTCCGGCACCCGTTATTGTCTACTGTGGAGAGACCAGGGATCTCTTAATTGGTCCTAGTTGAACGCAGGGACCGGCTCCTGGCTCTGTCCCAGCGCTTCATACCAGGTGCGGACCACATAGACAATGCTGAAAACAGCACCGAATCCTCTTCCCAGCACGTGCAGTTAATATAGTCTTGGTTGGAAGAGATAGGGTTCCTGGACACGATAAGTACCTGGTGTGTTTGGGAGCTCCTGGTTCTTTTCCACGGGCGTTGTAGTTACCCTTTGCAGGGCTTTCAGAACTCACCATAGGAGGGACGCAGATTGGTCTCAGAAGCCCAGGCACTGTTTTGGTCAGAAACTACTCTGTCGCTTAGTGTTCCCAGTTCCTTGACTGGTTCCTTGGCTCAGAGCCGCTTTCTACTTCTGAACAGTGGGAATTGTTAACGGAGACTTGATCCCTGGCAAAAGCACAGACTCGAATCATAGATGATGGAAGAAATAACTGTTACAAGAACAGTGATGTTCAGAATTCGATTTGAGTATGTACCTAGCGGAGTGGTTTTCCCAGGGCGCGGCTTCTCCACTGCACTCTGGATATGTAGGCCCCTGCGATTTCCCCTAATTCGAGGTACTGCATAATTTCTGGTAGTTGTGGACTAGGGCTAGATAAACTTAGAACCCAGGGCTTCAGCAGTAAACTACCATTGAGCTACACCTCAGCCCAAAACATATAGTGTAGACTAAAGTATAAGCAGAATGGAAGCCAAAGTGAGTGTGGAATTTCTAGGGAAGATAGGCCGGGGGCATGGTGAGGAGCAGGGGACAGATTTTAGCACAATATTTTCCTAAGACTTCGGATACAAAACTGTCAAAATATGACCAACCGGTATAAAATACGCCCTCATTTCAGCAGTGGGGGTAGTCTTCTTAGAATTGGTAGAGTAGATTAGGGTAGCTTGGGTAGGAATCACAGTGGCAATTGTAGGGGGATATAATCCACACCCCGCAGTCATTTCTTGGTTCCTCTGTCCCTTTAAAGAGTACAGTCTGAACAACTTCCGCTGTCCTATTCCTTACCGTAGCATATTCTTAGAACGACACTGTAACACTTAGAACGGGAACGGAAGTAAGGACTTAGAATTTCATATCTAATGAGATATGAAATAGTCGTGAGAATCCCAATTCCTTAGGGCTAGGAGGTTGGCTCCGTGGGTGCGGTGCGGCTGGAGAACTTGAATTTGGATCCCCAGCATTCATGGAACACCTAAGTACCAACCTCTGGCCTAGCCGCGCATGCACAAACAGAGGTTCAGGTGAGTGTACCAGAATACACCAACCAGAAGACAATTTTTTATTTTTTTATATTTATTTATTTATTTTTTGCTCCAAGAACAAAAAACTCAGAGGCCTTTATAAATCATGCTTTTTACATTAAGTCCCTGTTGGGCCATGCCCTAAAACATCTTTCTTTCACACAGATTCTTTTATTTATTTTTTTTTATTTTTTTAAGCAGATGAGAGTGTTTCACTTCCAGCACTAGGGATATCAGGGCCACTCTGGGCTAGCAAATAAGACTCAAAAAAACAAACAAACAAACAAAAAAAAACCAGACTCAAAGAGCTGCACTAGAGATTCTTTGTTTTTCAAGACAGGGTCTCTCTACATAGCCTAGCTGTCCTGGAACTCACTCTGTAGGCAAGGCTGGCCTGGAGCTCACAGAGATTCACTTGCCTCTGCTCCCGAGTGGGGTTAAAAGCATGAACCACCATGGTAATACTATTTAAGATCACCTTTTGAGCTAAGTGGTAGTCCGCGTCTTTAACCCTCGGAGGTTTGACAATTTCTATAGCCTTAGTCTTTCTGCTTAATCATGATACTTGTATCAAAAACATAAGTGAGAGCTGGGTGGTGGTGGTTTATGCCTTTAATACCAGCACTCAGGAGGTAGAGGTAGGTGGAGCTCTATGAGTTTGAGGCTAGCCTGGTCTACAGAGTGAGTTCCAGGACAGTCATAGTTGTTGCAGAGAGAAACCCTGTCTCAAAAACAAACAAACAAAACCTAAGCGAGGACCTTTGTCCTAATATTTTGTAGCCAAATTATCCAACTGCTAAGACAAGACAAATAAGAGACCTTAAATGCTTCCATGTTGGGTTCCAGCCACACTTGTGTCATCGACAACTCACTCCAGCGCAGTTGCCAATAAATGATAATCCCAGGTGCAAAACGGGGTCCGGAGAGGGCTCAGCAGGTAGAGATGTTTGCTTTTGGGCCAACACTCTGCATTTGATCCCCAGGACTCACATGGTAGAAGGAGAAAACCAACTCCTGAGAATTGTCCCTTGGCCTCCATACGCATGCTGAGGTGCCCCTATGCATGAGTACACACACACACACACACACACACACACACACACACACACAATATGGAAATTGGTCCTGGTATCCGTAGATCTATGACACTGCATGGCACGTAAATTCTAAGATGTGTGTTCATGTGCATGCGCTGTGTGAGTTGTGTGTGCGTGTATGTATGCGTACATGCATGCATGTGTGTGTGTTTTCATATATTTGTTGTCTGATAAACTGACAAGGAATTGGACAATAAAAAAAGGACCTGGGAATGATGTCACGGAAGTAGGGGTAGTTTTGGTTTAGACTGGTCAGCAATTCCTTGGTTACAGTTAGGTCCTAACAAGTCAGGCACGCTGTCAGAAGCCAGCCACACACAGCCCCGATGGCAAGAGTTTATTGATGGATTTTTTTTTGTTTTATTTCAGGAGAAAAGTAACCAGATCCTAGTAGTAGGCCTGGATGGTGCAGGAAAGACCAGCGTCCTCCACTCGCTGGCTTCCAACAGAATCCAGCACAGCCTGGCACCTACCCAAGGTTTCAACGAAGTTTGCATCAGCACTGAGGACAGGCAGATGGAGTTCCTGGAGAGTACGTTCTGCTTCTCATTAGCATCCATCTTAAGCCGGAAGCAGCGTTATCTACTGACATTGTAATCTTGAGAGAAGTGGTGCGGGATGCGATTCTTTTACACTTTAGGAAGACCTCAGGGTTTAATACTTAGGTGCTCGGGGTGGGGGCTGGGGAATCCACTTTCCGCTGTTTCGATTTTCTCCCGTTTCTGTAGTGCTGGCAACAGAAGAGGCTTAGAGGAAGGCTAAATTTAGCATACCCTCCTGTGATCTCCTGTAATCATCCTTCACCTTCCCTCACTGCTGCAGAAACACGGCCATCTAAGCAACTATAATGGGCGTCCTTCTCAACAACAAAACTGGGTGCAGTCCCAAACCTCTTCTAGTAAGCTGACAGTCCCAGTCTCTACCGTATGGTAGTACTGTCCCCACCTCACTAATAATGCAGTTCCCAAAGTCAGATCAGGCCTCCAGTCTTCCCTCTACAAACCCCCACACAAGACATTTGTCCTCATGGCCCTAAATATCATCTTAGAGGCACCCAGAATTATCTAAGCAGTTCAAGCATGTCCAGATGTCTTCTGCTACCTCCACTTGAACTCCTACGTGGCCTTTGAGACTTACTGTGGTCACAAAACAAGCAAAGCAAGCATGATTTATCCCCTGTCTGTTCCTTTCCCTGTAGCCCATGGCCAGTGCATGGGGGCTGTTCTTCCACTAGGTGCTCAAGGGGGAGCCCCAGGCATCACCCTTGACAGTCTTTCTCTATGGCATCATTCTGCAAGTCAAGCACCGAGGTTTTCTGTCTCCAAAGCATGCATCAAATGTATAAGTTTTGTCCTTTTTGGCTCCCATGTGAGAAGAACCTGCCCCTCTCTTCTCTTCCCAGGCACCACAGTCAATTGTGAAATCTTTGCTTTTGTCCAGACTCAAAGAGCACTATTTTAACACACTATTTAAACTAAGCATTTGCTAGTTTAAAAAGCCTTGATGATTGGTTTATCCACTTCTAGATAACTCTTAGCTCAAAGATAAGGTGTTATGGAAAAGTGAGAAAGATGGAGAACTGAGGCATTGTTAGAAACCACCGTGAAGCCAGACATGGTGTTACAGACCTGTAATCTGAGCACTTGAAAGACTAAGGCAGGAGAATCATGAGCTAGAGGCTAGCCTGGACTACGTAGTAAGACCTTGTTTCAAAAACTCCAGAAACAATGACCAAAAAAAAAAATCTTCTGATTGAAAGGAGCAGGCCAAGAAAGTGTCGAAAAAAACCAGTAACAATAAAAACAAAGGGGGAGGGTGAGAAAATCGCTAAGAAACCGGTGAAATGGGGAAGAAAGACACAATAGCAAAGGTCAGAAAAGTCCAAAATTAGTACATCGAAAACATAAACAAAATAGACAAACTTCTGGTAAAATTTATCAAGAAAATCTGTAAAGCACAAATAAACAATATGACTTAAAAACCAGCTTGTCACCAGTTACACTGACAGGAATGTAACATTCCCACGAATGCTTCAATGGTTTTGCTGGGTAGAGAGATGGCTCAGATAGCATGTGCTTCTCTTGCCAAGAACCTGAGTTCAGTTCCCAGCACCCATGTCAGGCAGCTCACAACTGCTTATACCTCCAGCTTCAGGGGACCCAGTGCCCTCTTCTGGTCTATGCACAGGCACATAAACACATGGCATACATTCACATTCATAAAAATAAACATTAAAAATTATTTTAGAAGCCAGGCATGGTGGGCCATGCATTTACCCAGCACTTGGGAAGCAGAGGCAGAAGCAGGTGGAGTTTGTGACTTTGAGGCCAGTTGGTCTACATAGTGAGTTCCAGGACAGCCAGATCTACATAGTGAGACTATCTATCTATCTATCTATCTATCTATCTATCTATCTCTGTCCATCTATCTACCTACCTACCTATCTACATACTTACCTGTCTATCATCTACCTATCTACCTACCTAATTTATCTATCTATCCATCCATCCACCTACCTACCATCCATCTATCTATCTATCTATCTATCTATCTGTCTCTGTCTATCATCTATCTACCTACCTACTTTATCTATCCATCCATCCACCTACCTATCATCTATCTATCTATCTATCTATCTATCTATCTATCTCTGTCCATCTATCTACCTACCTACCTATCTACATACTTACCTGTCTATCATCTACCTATCTACCTACCTACTTTATCTATCTATCCATCCATTCACCTACCTACCTACCATCTATCTATCTATCTATCTATCTATCTATCTATCTACACACACACATATATTATTAGAGTGGCACACAATTCAGCCTACCATCTTCCATTATCTTAGTACCTTATGCCCATTTTCTCAGTTATGCTGGATGAACAAGCAGTAGCTGGCCGTTCTTCTGTGTCTATATAGCACAGGAAGACATCACTGGAGTATTTAGGATTCCCATACTGATACTTTTGTGTTCTGCTTGTTTGTTTTTAATTTTATGTTTGTTTGTGTGAGACACCGTCTTGCTATGTTGGTTGGCAGGCCTCAAACTCACAACAGATCTCCTGCCTCACTAGCCTGAGTGCTGGAATTACAGGCATGACCTGCCCGGCCTGGCTTTTCATGTTGATTCTTAGTCATTCCTGGATGAGTGATCCACCTCTGAGGGACGGTGATTCCCACTGACCAACGATTCCCTCGGTAACATGCCTCTGGCCACTCAGAGTTGCCTACAGTGTAACTCAGTGACATTGACCAGAGCACCTGGCCAGTGTGTCCTATAGTCCCCCTTGGGGGCCATCCCTGTGATTTTAATTCATTCATTCATGTGTGACTCCTTCCTCTCCCATTCTCTGCAGTTGGCGGCAGTGAGCCATTCCGCGCCTACTGGGAGATGTACCTGCCTAAGGTATGGCTGCTGATCTTTGTGGTAGACTCAGCTGATCACAGTCGGTTGCCTGAAGCCAGGAGATACCTTCATCAGCTGATTGCGCCAAACCCAGGGCTCCCTCTGGTTGTGTTTGCCAACAAACAGGTAAAAAGCTGTGCTAATCTGGTGGCAGAGCACCTTGCCTCGCTTCCAGGCAAGTCCACACCAAAGCTAGGTTAATGGAACCTCCACTCAATAGTTTCTCATTATTAGCACAGACATGTCTTATTTTAATAGGTAGATAATCTTCGAGACCAGCCTGGTCTACAAGAGCTAGTTCCAGGACAGGCTCCAAAGCCACAGAGAAACCCTGTCTCGAAAAACAAAAAACAAAACAACAAAAAAAATAGGTAGATAATCAAAAATATACTGCGTATTCAATTTATTAGGTCTCCTGGATTATATACTCTTTCAATGTAAATATAATTGTCTTGTGTACTTGAATTGCCTAGTCTGTTGCCTCATGAAGAAAAGGAATTTAACCATGTGTATTGAACTTATTTCAATAAACCAATACTGATTGTTGATTTAATTTGACACAATTTTGAGTGGCTTCTATGTATAGAAAAAGAGTTTTATTTTAGATCAGTTACACTTGACTGAATTTTTTTTTTTTTTTTTTTTTGGTGCTTGCATCAAAAGCAATTAACGTTCATGGAGAAAGCTCGAAGCTTTTACACAGTCCTTGGAAGTGCAAGCAACTACGAAAAAAAAAAAACGAAACAGAATTCCTGTATCATGCATCAATTCTACATTTTTTATATACCCCAGATAAATGAAACCAGGGAGCCAGTCTGCTTTTATACACTTAGGTTCATGGTAGCACTATGATTACAACAGCCGCAGGTTAGAAGCTAGAAAGGTCTGTCCGCTGACGACCGCATAACGAAACATGGTGTGTCCATACAGCGTGTTACTTTAGCCTGCAGAGGGACGAAGTTCTACCGCATGCAACCATGCGGATGGACCTGTGGATACTATCCTAAATGAATGAGCTAGCCACAGAGGGACAGATGCTGTGTGGTTCTGCGTATAGAGCGTCTTCCCAGAGCCATCAACTCTGCAGTGGACCGAGTGGAACTGTGGATGTCAAGGGTTATAGGAGGGAGGAAAGTGGAGTTAGCTTAGGACAGCTAGAGCTTCAGTGTAGCAAGATGAAGAGTTGATGGTGATGGTTTAAACCACTGTGAATGCATTTAATTTTACTGAATTACACACTAAAATGGTAAATTTTGTTATTGCACTACTATTACAACGATGACAATGACTATACACACACACACACACACACACATAACCTTTAGGTTTCCAAATACTGGAACAGTAATTCTCTCAATTACTAGGTCTGCCAACCAAAAACTCAATGCCTTCCTTCCCTTATGTCTTCTATGAGTAGGATGTTCATGGAAGCAAACTAAATAATTACAATAGATCTTACTTTATCAGAAATCTTGATTGGCATTAAGAATAGAGGCTGGTCCAGCACATTTTGATATGGTGTTGGCATTTCAGAAAGAAAGGTTGATGATTTGTTTTTCGTTTTCAAGTGAAGTATCTTAAAACTACGAAGACTCAGGGCCTGAGAGATGTAGCCCAATGATAGTGAATCTGCTTAGCATATGCGAGGTCCTGGGTTCAATCCCGGCAGGCAGTAGGTGAGGGAACTGCAAAGATTTAGAAGTTCCTGTACACACATTTCACCTGTGTGGCATGCTGGTGGACTGTAATCTGGCCTTTCTCTTGTTGCTGGTCATTTTTATTATTCCCAGTTGTTTACTGTTGCAAGGTTGCAGTGAGCTTTCAAATGTGTGCGCCCTTGTACCCACGGATGCGTATTTCTCAAGTGTGCAGAAGTGCTAGGTTTTTGGATTTGCAAATAGTTTTATTGGATATTCCTAAATTGCTTTCCAAAGTCACACTAGTTTACTCTTCCATCGGGAGATGATAGTTATTTGAAGCTCCACCCCTCATTGGGACTGGCCATTGTCACAACCATCCGTTTTGCCAATGTGTTGGTCTTATGATCCTTATTTATTTGAGGTGTTTATTGCTGGCTGAGACCTACATCCTGTTTGCTCTTGTTTTCTCACCTCCGATTCTTCCTGTGGGAGAGGTGCTGGGAATGAGAGCCGAGGTCTTTTGTACTAAGCATACTGTTTACCACAAAGATGGGACGGAAGCCTCTACCTTTCCTGTTTGATATATAAGGGTACTGAATATTTTTTGCAAAATTCCCTTGTTGGTTATATGCATCACTAACATCTTCTCCAGTATCTCAGTGATTTTCATTTTGCTTTGCTTATGGTTCCTATTTTTACATTAGAGACCCCCCATTTCTCTTTTTAAGACATAGTTCTGCATAGGTCTCTATATAGTTTTGACTGCCTTGGAACTTGCTCTGTAGACCAGGCTGGCCTTGAACTCACAGAGGTCTGCTTGTCTGTTTCCTGAGTACTGGGATTAAAGGCTGGCCAGATTTTCCTTTTTATTTATCAAATTTATCCAGTTTTTCCTTTTGTGGTTTGTGTGTCTTGTCTTCATCAAATTGAATAAACAGAACCATTGTCAAATTGAAAGTTTTTTGTTGTTTATTTGAGACAAGGTATATCACTATGTAATCTTGGCTGGCCTGGAACTCTTTATATAGACTGGGCTGGTCTTGAACTCATAGAGATTTACCTGCTTCTGCCTCTTGAGTATTCAGTATACCACTATACTCAGCTAAATTGAAGACTTTTGCTTTACCTTAATGATAAAAGACTTAGTTATTCTTTTTTAATTATAATTAAATTTATTCATTTATTTTACACCCCAACCGAAGTTTCCCCTCCCTGTTCTCCCCCCCCCCCCACACACACACCAACTCCACCCCAATTCACTCCTTCTCCCATGGGTGTCAACAAAGAGTGGCATATCAAGTTGAGGTAGGACCAAGCTCCTCCCCTTGTACTAAGGCAGGGCAAGGCAACCCAGTACTAGAAATAGGCTCCTGGTAAATGTTAGGGACAGTACCTGCTTCCACCACCAGGCATCCCACGAGAGGATCAAGCTACACAACTGTCACACTAGGTTGGTCCATGCAGGCGCCCTAGTCATTGGTTCAGAGTCTGTGAGTTCCTATGACGCCAGGTTAATTGTTTCTGTGGGTTCTCCCATGATCTTGACAAACTACTCCCTATCCTTTACCCCACGGCCCATCCCTTTCTTCCCTTACTCCCCTTCTCACCTCCTCTATTCCCTTCCTCCCTCCCTTCAACAAGATTCTCAGAGCTTGGCTCAGTGCTTGGCCCTGGATCTCTGCATCCATGTCCACCAGTCACTGGATGAAGAAGGTTCTCTGATGATAATTGAGATTGTTACCAATCTGATTACAGGAGATGACCAGTTCATGTTACCCATTCACCATAGCTAGGAGTCTTAGCTGGGGTCATCCCTGGGAGTTTCCCTTGCACCAGGCCTCTACCTGACCCCCAAATGCCCTACATCCCCACATCAAGATGTCTCTTTCATTAATTTCCCCCTCCATCCACCCCCCAACTCAGTCTCTTAAGTTCCCATCCCCACTGGCCCACAGTCCACCCAGATTTCATTCTATTTCTCCTTCCCAGGGAGATCTATGTGTCCCCCTCTTGGGGCTCCTTGTTACCCAGGCTCTCTGGGACTGTGGACTGTAGCATAGTTATCCTTTACTTTATAGCTAATATCCACTTATGAGTGAGAACATACCATCTTTGTCTTTCTGTGTCTCAGTTACCTCGCTCAAGAGGATTTTTTTCTAGTTCCATTAATTTGCCTTCAGATTTGCTGATGCCTTTATAACAGCTGAGTAATACTCCATTGTGTAAATGGACCGCATTTTCTTTATCCATTCTTCAGTTGAGGGGCATCTAGGTTGTTTCCAGGTTCTAGCCATGATGAATAATGGTGAACATAGTTGAGCAAGTGTCCTTGTGGAATGACTGAGCATCTTGAGTATATAAGTCTTAGCTATTCTAAATTAATGCATTTTTGCTTGTATTCTTTAGGGAAAATATTTAGTCTATGCTTTTAGATGAATCACTAGGTCAATATATTACATCAGGGGTTTCAAAAGGTTATCTTTTGAAAGCTGGGCATGGAAGTTCATGCCTGTAATCTCAGCAGTGGAGAGCAGAGACAGAAGGATTGCAAGTTCAAGGCCAGCTTGGGCTAGATAGGGAGACCTTGCATATAAAAAATGTTATTTTATTTATTCTTTGGTTATAACCTCAATTCCTACCCATACTGACTCCTCCCTACATCTTCCTTTATAATTTCTTCAGTAGATGTATTAACCTGAGATATCATCTATATACTATTGCATCCGTTACTCTGTCACAGAAGTCTCTAAGGGCTCTATGAATAACATATTGTGATTACCAACACCCAGTCACCATACATAGCCCACCAGGGGGAACCTCGTAGACTTCTAGGGCTGTGGAGCTAAGACAACATACATGGACCTCTGTATACCCCACCAGTTTGCTATAAATTTTTGATCTGAATAAATAATAATAGCAACAAAGAACTCACAAATGATAAGTATGAGAATCAGTAAAATATGGGCAAAAAGTAATTGATAGCTAGGCGGTGGTGGCACACACCTTTAATCCCAGCACTCAGAAGGCAGAGGCAGGTGGCCCTTTATGAGTATGAGGCCAGCCTGGTCTACAGAGCGAGTTCCAGACAGGCTCCAAAGCTACAGAGAAACCCTGTCTCGAAAAAAATTAAAATTAAAAAAGTAATTGATGAGTAGGGTATGATGGCCTACACCTCTAACCCCAACAGGTGTATGACTCAAAACTTCAAGCCCAGTTTAAGTCTCACGGTATGTCTCTTTAAGAAAACCAACCAACTCCTCCCACTAACAAAACATACCAGCGGAGGGAGGAGGGGGGGATGACTGCAGGAGCCAGAGACCAGCCAGGACCACTTGCACGCACTCACTCACAGAAGCTGTGGTTGCCTGCACAACATGTGCACAAGATCAACACGGAGTGAGTTAAGGGTCCATGAGCCCCCCCACCTCCCACCCAGCTGAGACGCAATGGACAATTGATGGCTTCTGGGCTAGGGACAGTCAATGTGCTCTAAAGATGTGGCCTCTATAGGTTGACCACCCTCCAGTGGATGGCCTCATTCATACCCACGATTATACAGGCAACACAAATTGGATTTAGTGAGTTATAAGAAGAAAAGGAAACATATAATTGAGAGAGGGCATAAGGCTGAGGATGGATATAGAGGAATTGGGGGAAAAGTAAGGAGGGGATATAATCAAAGTAGATGGTGTGCCTGTATGAAATTCTCAAAGAATAAAAATAGTACATTAAAAGCAATCAAATGCATGGTGGTGGATGGCTTTAATCCCAGCCCTTGGGAGGCAGAGGCAGATGGATCTCTGGGAGCTCGAGGCCAGCCAGTTCTACAAAGCGAGTTCCAGGACAGCTAGGACTGTTACACAGAGGAACCCTGTCTCGAAAAACAAAACAAACAAAACTAATCAAACAACCAGATAAAATGATGAACCAAATTTCTTTTGTTGATATAAATTCTTAATAGTTCATCATATTAAAATTATCTTAGAAAAATAAACAGATTGATGGTATCATTTAGAAAATTCAGTCCTGCCAGGTGGTGGTGGCGCACACCTTTAATCCCAGCACTCAGAAGGCAGAGGCAGGTGGCTCTTTATGAGTTTGAGGCCAGCCTGGTCTACAGAGTAAGTTCCAGGATAGTGCCGTTTACACAGAAACCCTGCCTCAGAAAACAAAACAAAAAAAAAAAAACAAAAAAAAAAGAAAGAAAGAAAGAAGGAAAGAAAGAAAGAAAAGAAAAGAAAAATTAAGGTCTTTGGTGGGGGCAGAAAGTACTTTTTGATAAGTCAGAAATGCTGGAATAATTCTGATAAAAATGTTACTGTTCATACCAACTCTGGAGTCATAATAACAAAGTTTCAGTATTTTCTGCATTAAATGGTAGAGTCATTTAGAATAAGGAGGAAATATTTCTGTCCGACAAGAATGCAGACTAACAATGTGTCCTCCTCTCTCTCCATTGTGGGTAAAGGATCTTGAAGACGCCTACCATATTATAGACATCCACGAAGCTCTAGCACTGTCGGAAGTGGGGAATGACAGGAAGCTGTTCTTGTTTGGAACTCAGGTGACTGAAAATGGCTCAGAGATCCCTTCCACCATGCAAGATGCCAGAGACCTGATTGCACATCTGGCCGCAAATATGTAGAAGTTGACTAGGACCCGGCCCACTCCTCAATTCACCATCAAACTGTCATCAAAGAGGGCTGAATGGCAGGCAGGCTTAACCCAAAGGTTTCCACTTACAATAAAAAATAAGCCATTTCCTATTCTCTCAATGCAAAGTGTATATACGAAGAGAATGCTCATTTATTAAGATTACATTTTTATTTTTTTAGATTTTTAACTTTAAATTTTTTAAATTATTTTGTTTGATGGCAATTTGGATTTTTGCTTGTTTTGGGTGCCGAGAGTGGAGCCCTGGGCCTCACATATGTTAAACACACCCATCTACCGTGGTGCTATGCCCACACACCTGGAGGAGGGTTTTAACTCAAAAGTAAAGTTCATATTAGCAAGCTTTCATCCCACCTGTGGTTTCTCTTTATGTTTTGTGTATATGTTCATGTATGTACATGTAAGGTCAGAAAGGTGCCATAAATCATGTATGCACTTTTGCTTTTTGTGGTTTCTGTTGTGGTACAATGCTCTTGTACACTGTGAAGAGTTGTCACTCGTATTAGTTTAATAAAATGTTGATTGACCAGTAGTCAAATAGGAAGTGTAGGCGGGATCACCAGACTAAGGAATTCTGGGAAGAGGAAAAGTAGAGAGTCAGTCCTCATCCAGACTCAGAGAAAGCAAGATGAAAATGCTGCATTGAGGAAAGGTGCCAAGCAACGTGGCTAAATATAGACAAGAATTATGGGTTAATCTATTGTAAGAGCTAGTTAATAATAAGTCTGAGCTAATAGGCCAAAGAGTTTATAATTACTATAAGCCTCTGTGTGTTTCTTTGGAACTGAACAGCTGTGGGTCCAGGCAGGACAGAAACACTGGGTGTCAATTGTTAGACTTCCGCAGATTATATTTAAGGATGGAGGTATAGGTGACTGCTTTGTTGAACCCAAGTCGTTTAGACACAAAAGCAGTCTAAAACTACCACGTGAGTTTCTCCAGCCAGACTTGACTGATAACAGAGACCAGTGACCACTCCCTACTAAATTCCTCAGCAATTAACCCTCTGCACAAGCTTCTAACCTCAGTTGTTGATACACAATTTAAGGCTTACCTAACTAACTGGTTTAAGTCCTAAAATATATGTGGAGGACAAGAACAACAACCAGTTGCCCAAGTCCAGAGAGAAACAGCTTTACATGGGAAAATCTCTCAGATAGCCAGGGCTACAAAGATGGTCTGGCCTCACAGCCTTGAATTAAAAAGTTACAAGTTTCCCTCCTTGTGCTCTGGGGCTGCATGCAGGATAAGAAAATGTGCTCTTAGGTTTGGGACGCCTGGCAAAATGCCAAACGCTATGCCCCTTGGCCTCGGGTCACAGCCTATGTACCAGGAACTTTGAAGCCAGGAGTTGCCATGGTTACTCACTCCCCTCAGATGTAGCTTTTGTAACCTTTTTTTGTTGAAAGAAGTTTGTTGTACATATAAGCTAGTTGAGCAAAGAAGCTGGAGAGAATGGGAACAAGAGAAGAAGAGCAGGAGAAACGAGAGCAGAGAACTAAAGGATTGAAGCTGCGGAATGAGAGTTGGAAATAAAAAGAGCATGACCTTCAGATCATGGATGTCTTTTTCCTTTATTTTTTATTTTATTTTATTTTATTTTTTTTGGTTTTTTTGAGACAGGGTTTCTCTGTGGCTTTGGAGCCTGTCCTGGAACTAGCTCTGTAGACCAGGCTGGTCTTGAACTCACAGAGATCCGCCTGCCTCTGCCTCCCGAGTGCTGGGATTAAAGGCGTGCGCCACCATCGCCCGGCTGTCTTTTTCCTTTAGAAAGATTGGAAATTTTCCTGAAGTGCTCACTGCTCTGAAGGCATTCTTTTCTGCAACCTTGGTGAGTTCTGGGAGCTAGACTCCCAGGCTGCGGCACCGAAGGTGTCCTCTGGCCTCCACATGTGTAATGTGGCAGTTATACATGCACACACATAACATGTAATAAAATCTTTATGTGTTGAATGTTTTGCCTGCATATCTGAAAGTATACCTGTATGTGTGGCTAGTTCCTGCAGAGGCCAGAAGAAGGTGCCAGATTCATTGGAACTGGAGGATAATCCATTGGGAGCCATTATTGGGTTCTCTGCAGCAAGCGGTTGTTTGTATGTTTGTGTGCCTGGGTGTAGGTATGCACACCATATGCATGCAGGAGCCTGCAGATGTCTGAGGTATTTGATTCCCTGGAAATTAAGGACCATTGTGAGCCACCATGTAAGTGCTGGGAACCAAACCCAGGTCCTCTGTAAGAACAGTAAATGCTCTTAAGCACTGAACCATCTTTCCAGGGCTGTACGTGGTCTTCACTGATGGACCAAAATGTAATCAGATCCTAAAAAATACGTTTGAAGCAACAGATTACCTGATTGATGCATACACACTCTAGAATGAGTCTCCTAGTTCCATTCCAGGTAACTTCCATAAAAACGTTTTAATTTTCTATAGGACAGTGAATTTAAGTACTCTCCATTTTTCTTTGTAAACGGTGCCTTCAACCATACATTTTGACAGATGATTTATTCCTTAACATTTAATTCCTGCTCTTGAAGGTAAACACAAGACTGAGACGGCACCAATTTTGCTTTTCTTCCCCATACTATTATGGCCATGAAGATGAGTACTTCCCAGTCTCTCTCTCTGTCTCTCTGTCCTCTCTCTCTCTCTCTCTCTCTCTCTCTCTCTCTCTCTCTTTCACACACACACACACACACACACACACACACACACACACTTAAGAGGGGTACTGCACTTGCAGAGGATCCCAGTTTGACCCCAGTTCAGTTTCCAGTTCCTTTGGCAGCTGCTAACTGCCTGTAATTCCAGCTCAAGGGGATCTGATGTCCTCTTCTGGATTCCATGGGTTCTAATACTAAAAAGAGCACAAACCTACACAGGCACACACACATAATTAAAAAATAAAAGTAAATTTTTTTTGTTTTGCTTTTTCAAGACAAGGTTTCCCTGTGTAGCCCTGGCTGTCTTAGAACTCGTTCTGTAGACCAGGCCGGCCTTGACCTCAGAGATCTGCCTACCTCTGTCTCCTGAGTGCTTGGATTAAAGGCCTGATCCACCATCAATCAGCTAAAAGTAAATATTTTTTTTAATTTCCTTTTTTTTATATTTATTTATTATGTATACAATATTCTGTCTGTATGCCTGAAGGCCAGAAGAGGGCGCCAGACCTCTTTACAGATGGTTGTGAGCCACCGTGTGGTTGCTGGGAATTGAACTCAGGACCTTTGGAAGAGCAGGCAATGCTCTTAACCACTGAGCCATCTCTCCAGCCCAAAAGTAAATATTTTTAAAAGACTCCCTATAACCTATCACTTGAGAGGCTGAGGCAAGAGGATTGCCAAAAGTTCAAGAGTTCGAGACCAACCTGGACTAAATAGTTCCAGGCCAGCTTGAGCTGCAGAGTGAGCTTGTCTCAAAAATCAATCAATCAATCAATCAATCAAACAAACAAAAAATGGTGGGGACAAAAGATGTAATGGGAGGAAGTGGGAGAGAGAGACACAAAGTCACAAAATAATCTGTCAGAGGTATCACTATGAATAAATCAACACAATTGTGCTGTTCACAAGATTAATTATATGATTAATAATGTCTGTAGTGACACAGGCTCAGGGGTCTTGAAATGATACAATCTAGAGATGTTGGCCAAGTGTGTTCTTTGCCAGTTAAAGAATTAAAAGGCAGGAAAATCTGCAGCGCAAAAGATAGCCACAGAGGAACCTCAAGCATCGCAGACAGAATCAGCAGTTGAAGGACGGCATTTATTGGAGATGAGGAAACAACATAAGCAGACACCCAAGGCAAAGACCCTCGGCAAAGCAATGGATTCAGGAAGCGGAAAGTCTGGTCTCTTTTTAGAGGTTGTAGGGTTTCAAAGCTCCTGAAGAGTTTTCTTCCCTAATTTAGGTCATTCTGAAGAAAGCAAGGATGGTTGACTGGCATGTCTTGAGAGGTCGTGAACTTGTTGAGCAAGTCCATCAGCAGGGCCCTGCCAGCGGAAGACAAAAGTCTACAAAGCCTAAGTTGTCAAGCTTAGCCTAAAGTCAGGAGTGTGGATGAAGCTGGCAATCATAGAAGTTGGCCATCTTTCTTAAGTAGTCAGGGACCCTCTCCCTATCTGTCTGCTAACAGTTAACTCCTAGTCTCGTTTTGATAGTGGGCCTTGGAACGGCACACAAGCTGTCCTTGAATATGCATATGTATTTAGACGTGTTTCATTGAAGTGTTTCGTTGTGACGGTGTGCAGAATTTCATGTAAAGAAAAGGTTAGTGATCTGGACTATTCCGGCGGACATTAAGCTTGTAATTCCCTCTCCCTTCACAACCTTCATTTTGACTGCTGAATTTTTACTAGAAACCGATTGCCTTAGTGGGGCTGGGGCGGGGGAGGTGTGTGTGTGGGGGGGGGGGGTGCCGGGGGATATTAAGACTTAAAAATCTATCCACTCCCAGTCTTTGTAAAGAGTGTGAAGAAATCTCGGAAACCTAACCAGTCAGGAAGCAGAGAAGTACAGTGAGTTGTTGAGTCTTCTCAGTTCACACCAGAAGCAGAAGCAGCATCCCGCTCTCCAGGCTCTCTGTCTCCTGTGCGGCAACTAATAGAGGTGCACCCTAGGCTAGCAACGCGTCTCCGTAGCAACCAGAGAGCCAAAGCGCTGAAATGATGGGCGGGGCGGGGAAGGGCGGAGCTAGTCTTCCCGGGACGGAGCTGAGTCTGTCCCGGGCGCGGTGCCGACGGCCCCAAATCTCGTGTCCGCGCCGCGGGTTGCGCTAGGGCTGCAGGCGGACAGTTCGTGCCCTGGGTACCCGGAGCTTCTAACTGAAATGGATGAAGGAGACGTCTCAGGTTCATCCGTGCTGTCTGGGGTGACTGATGGGCAGAACACGACAGAAACACACTCGGAACTCCACCCGAAGCCCCTTGTGCTCAGGCTCCTGGAGGTGAAAGAACTTGGAAGTGAAGAGGTC